AGCAGGCTCCCAAGGAGCAGGGAGCCCGATGCGGGACTCGATCCCAGGACCCTGAGATCATGACCTGAGCCGAAGGCAGACGCTTAACTATCTGAGCCACCCAGGCGCCCTATAAATTTCTTGTTATATATTTCATTCTAGTTGTTTTGTTTGGATCAGATATCCTTAAATAAGACAATGAAATCTGCTTTAATTTCAGTATAAAATATTTTGGGCTATTGTAATTTCTTCTAGACAGATAAAATGAGGAAGAAATAATAAAGATGCTAAGCTTTTTGTAGGCTTAAATTCTCTAATTTACATACTCTAAGATACAACAAACTTGTGGACTTATCAAAAAATAATAGGGTAAATCAATGTATACTGACTTAGAGATATATCCACAAAATAATTTCAGTGAAAAAAAAAAAGCAAGATGCAGAACAACACATAGAGTGTGATCTTACTCTTGTTACATAGCCACCCAAGAGTCCCTAGCTATATATATATTTTTTTGTACAGGCTCTTTATCAAGTTGGGGAAGCTCCCTTATATTCCTGGTTTATTGAGGGTTTTGAAATGACTAAGTATTGAATTTTGTCACTTGCTTTTTTCACATTATAATATGATCATGTGTTTTCTCTTTCTTAGTCAACATGTTAATATAATGCATTATACTGATTGATGTTTGAATGTTGAAGCAAACTTAAATTCCTCGGATTAACCTCACTTGGTCATGATGTATTAATTTTTTATGCATTGCTAAAGTTGCCTTGCTAAGAATTTTTGTGTGCCTATTCAAAAAGTATATTATTGTGTTGGTTTTTTTCTTGTAATGTATTTTTCTAGCTTTGGGGTAAGGGTAATGCTAGCCAAATAAAATGGGTAGGCTAGTGTCCCCTGTTCTCTTTTTCTGCAAGAATTTTTGTACAGGGGTGCCTGGGTGGCTCAGGCGGTAAAGCGTCTGCCTTCGGCTCAGGTCATGATCTGAGAGTCCTGGGATTGAGCCCTGTGTTGGGCCAGGCTCCATGCTCAGCGGGGAGTCTGTTTCTTCCTCCCCCTATGCCTGCCACTCCACCTGCTTGTGCTTTCTCTCTCTGTCAAATAGGTAAATAAAATCTTAAAAAAAATTTTTTTTGGACAGCTTACCTGCTTATTTCTTCCTTAAGTATTTGAAAGGATTCAGCAGTAAAGCCACCTAGGCCTAAAGTTTTCTTTGTGCAAGAATTTTCAAGTATGGGGAATCTGGGTGTCTCAGTTGTTAAGCATCTGCCTTTGGCTCAGGTCATGATCCCAGGGTCCTGGGATCGAACCCCGCATCGGGCTCCCTGCTCAGCGGGAAGCCTGCTTCTCCCTCTCCCACTCCCCCTACTTATGTTCCCTCTCTCGCTGTGTCTCTGTCTGTCAAATAAATAGATAAAATCTTAAAAAAAAAAAAGAATTTTCAAGTATGAATTAAAATAACTTCAATAGATGTAGGTCTGTTCAGATGATCTCTTCTTGAGTGAGCCTTGGTAGTTCTATCTTTCTAGGAATTTGTACACTTTATCTAAATTGTTGAATTTAGTGCCATAAAGTTGTTCATACTATTTCCTTTGATCCTTCTAATCTCTATAGAATTTGATCAGATCTAATCAGTTTTACTTGTATTTCCAGAGAGCCAGGTTTTGTAGTGACTGATAATCTCTGTTGTTTGACAATTTTTCTATTTTATTATTATTATTTTCTTGCTTCTCTCTACTTTTGGTTTAATATGCTCGTCTTCTTAAAATTTCTTTACATAAAAACTTAGGTAACCAATTTTAGACTTTGCTCTTTTTGTAAATAAGCATCTTAACTCTACGTATTTATCTCTAAGCACCGCTCTAGCTGGGTCCTACCAATTGTGATATGGTGTATTCTCATTTTTCATGTGATTTCTTCTTTGAACCATGAATTATTTCAGAGTATATTGTTTAAATTCCAAATGTTTGAGGATATTCCAGATGTTTTTTATTCATTTCTAGTTTAAATCTGTTGTGTTTAGAAAACATACTATGTATGAGTTTAATTTTTTTATGTTTAATGAGCCTTTTTACATGGCCTCAGAATATAGTCTGTCTTGGTAAAATATCCCATGTGCTCTTGAAAATAGCTTATATCCTGCTAAAGTTGGGTGGGGTGTTCTATAAATGTCAACTAGGACAAGTTGGTTGAAAATATAGTTCAAGTCTTATGTATCCTTGCTGATTTTCAGTCTACTTGTTCTGTTAGTTACTAAGGAATATGAAAATGTCCAACTATAATTGTAGATTTGTCTCTTTCTTTTTTCAGGTCCGTCACTTTCTGTTCTGGGTGCTTAACATTTTAATCAGCATATACACCTTGTACATTATTATGTCTTCTTAATGAATTGACCCCTTTGTTATTATGAAATATCCATCTATGTCTCTGGTAATGGTTCTTGTTCTGATGACTGCTTTGTACAATAACTTAGCCACTTCAGCTTTCTTTTGATTGAGTACGTGATACATCTTTTCATTCTTTTCCTTTTTAAGCTATCTCTGTCAAAGTGGGTTTCTTGTAAGCAAAATAAATTACATCTTTTAAAAAAATCAATTATGGCAATTTCAGCCTTTTTAATTGAATTACTAATACCATTTACACTTCCTATGATTATCAGTATTATTGATTTTAAATCTGTATCTTACTATTTCTTGTCTTTTTGTCCCATCCATTTTTTATCCCTTTTTGCCTGCCTCTATTAGAGTGAGTATATTTTAGTATTTCATTTTATCTCCATAATTGGATCATTAGCTCCATCTCTTTAACATTATAAAATGTTAGTTTTATTTAAAATTACAAAATTTAGTGTTTGTCTTTACATATTTAACTTACTGTAGTCTGTATTCAAATAATATTATGCCACTTGACTTACAATGTAATAATTTTACAATAGTATTCTTTTCTTTCCCCCTTCAATCCTTTAGCTATTGTGGTTATACTATTTACTTCTTTGCATTTTGTAATCTTCAAAGTACATTACTATTATTTTGCTGTTGCTGTTTTCAACAACCAGTTATCTTTAAGTTTATTTAAAAATAACAAATAGGTCTTTTAAATTTATCAACATGCTTACTAAATTTTCAGTGCTTTTTTGGTTTTTATGTAAACCATAATTTTCATCTCATTTTTATTTTTCCTCAAGAACTTTTTTTTTTTTAAGTAGGCTCCACACTCAGCGTGGAGCCCAACATAGGGCTGGAACTCACGAACCTGAGATCAAGACTGAGCTGAGATCAGTAGTTGGACGCTTAGGCAGCTAAGCTACCCAAACACCCCTCCTGCCAAAGAACTTCTTTTAACATTTCTTGTGGACTCTTAACTTTTATTTGTCTGAACATCTTTATTACAATTTCTTGGATTTCATTCGTCAATATTAAGATTTTTGGTTCCTAAATGGATAAAACTAATAGCTTAAAGAATGAAGAAGGTAATTGCCATGTTTAAAGTTTTAAATTTAGAAAAAGAGTATGACACTACTAATTCGAAGGGTACATATACCCCAGTGTTTATAGCAGCATTATCAACAATAGCTAAATTATGGAAAGAGCCCAGATGTCCACTGACTGATGAATGGATAAAGAAGAAGTGGTATATATATACAATGGAATATTACTCAGCCATCAGAAAGAACAAAATAGTGTCATTTGCAATGATGTAGATGGTGCTAGAGAATATTATGCTAAGCAAAATAAGTCATTCAGGGAAAGACAAATTCCATATCACTCATATGTGGAACTTAAGACGCAAAATAAATGAACAAAGGAAAAGAAAAAGACCAAGAAACAGACTCTTAACTCTAGAGAACAAACTGATGGTTACCAGAGGGGAGGTGGGTGGAGAGATGGGTGAAATGGGGGATGGGGATTAAGGAGTGCACTTGTGATGAGCATCAGGTGATGTATATAAGTGTTGAATTATTTAATTCTACACCTGAAACTAAGCTGGATGTGAACTAACTAGAATTTAAATAAAAACTTGAAAAAAAAGAGTGTGACAAATTCAATGTAACACTGTTTAAGGGATACAGACAACTTTCAGATGAAGAAATCTGAAAGCTAACACACATAGTAATTAGTAATTAGAGAAGTGAAAACTAGAATTAATATCCCTTTACAATTATTAGACCAAAGAAAATTAGGATTTTGGATATTTATGTCATGTGTTAGCCGGGAGGGGAAAAAAGACCCCACAAGAATCCTCATGGACAATAGAGGTTGGTGAACTACTTGTAGGTGTATGGATTGCCAGTGGTATGAAGGCATTTTGACTGTTGGGCACTGTTTATTCATACTGGGTGTATATATATACTCTGTGATATAGTAATTCTGCTCTGGGTCTACAGCAAAGGGATTAAGAGTCTCTGAGTTTACACAGTCCATAGTTACCCAACTCCATAAAGAGACATGGTAGAGACTTTGATTTTATCATGCCCTGAGCTGGTGAGAAGAAGATGGACGTAGCCTGAGCACCCATCACCAGGAGAGTGAAAACATCCAGAAGCGTTCTGCAGGAAATCAAAGCAAGAGATTGGTTTTCCACACAACAACAGGGATGGATTTTCTTAATAAAAAATAAAATTCCAAGAGAAAATAACAATGCAAATGAGATCTATACCGTACATGATTAATATGAATTAAAATGTATGCCTACAAAGTGGTCCCAATTCCCCTTACACCATGCTCTTGAGAATAACTGATCTTTCTCTGTACATTACATTAAAGAAATAGGTGTAGATATTCTGGAAGGTAGGGGTATCTTTGTTCACAGTGCTTTCTTCTTGCAGATGTTGATGAATGCCAGGCGATTCCTGGGATATGCCAGGGAGGAAACTGCATCAATACCGTGGGCTCTTTTGAGTGCAAATGCCCTGCTGGTCATAAGCAGAGTGAAACTACTCAGAAATGTGAAGGTAAGTGTCTGCATTTGGAGGGGCATGTCTACTGATGGCTCTGAATCCCAGAAAGTCATAACTTCATTTAGAATTTTGAAGAAGTCAATCATAGTTAAAATTCTTTATTTTAGTGGGAGGATGAAGGCATAGATGTTAGAGTGGTTTTGTATCGGTTTGTGTGTTTAATGGGTTTGATTTAGAAAGAGCCAGTGAACATTTTACAAGGGGTTTGTTACTCAGTTTCTCTGTTGTAGTGGGAATGGGAGTCATCAGCCCTTTATATTTTTCCTTAATAAAGTGATTTTCCAATTCACTTACACAATTATATCAAAAGATTAAAATTCTGAGTGAAGTACAGTGTCCGTCATAAAGTGATGCATTAGAAGTTGGCACTCTGTCCTATGTTATTAAATAAGTATTTGGAATTTTGTGTTGAATATTGTTTCTCGGCTGCCTGCCAAGTGAAAAAAACCAGTATAATTGACTCAGAGAGAATTTGGAAATTACTGCAACAGGTATTCTGTGAAAGAATAGCTTACTCAAATACATATCAAAAAATAATTTTCTGGAATGTGATTATAATATTGAATGTGAACTGAATATAATTTTGAAATATGAACTCCATAAGCATTCCTCATATAGGATAAAATCACTTGCTATATTTATGTGTGATTGGAAGCTTTATCATTATTACAAAATTCAAGAAGCTTCTAAAAGTGTCTAGCTTTCCTAACATGGATACTTAGAATAATGTTGATACTTCCAGTAGAATGATTACTTACATCAGTTTATTCCCATTGAGGTAATTTTTTTAAGACAAATACTATATTTTCATTTTTTTGTGACATAAGCATTCATATCTACTCAAAGTTTAGAAAAAAAAATTATTCCAGAAATTTGTTTTTGGCAGTCTGGCTTACCTGAGGTGGAAAAATGTGAATCTGAGCTTACATGGGAAATTCAGTAAATCTGAAATTGATTTCATATGCCTGTTATGATTTTATCTGGGAGCATTTTCTGAGTTGAGTAAACTAAAAGTAGCAAATACATATTATAATTGCTTCCTGTGAAGAAACCGTCACAAGTTTATTTAGGCCTGTTTACCTTCAGTAACTAAAATCATCTTTTAGTGTACATAGTTAAGTCTTCTGTTCTTTCCTTTCTAAAAGGCAGTATTTGGGGGTTATTTTTTGTTGCTTGGTTATAAAAAGTTTAGTCCCTCTCTCTAGAAAAAACAGTTTGGGAAAAGGTAAAATCTAAAGTTTAATTATAGAAGACAAACAGGAATACGAACTATTTTTTTGGACGGGAGGTAGCGGTAAGTACATGCTGTGGTTCCAACACCAGAAATCATAATTCCATGAACCCAGGGAACATGTATCATTCTATATTTTCTATTTGGCTTACTGCCTTTCTAGTCTACTCTAAATTAATCGTCATAATTATATACAATTTACATTTTTTCAACTTAATTTCATGCTTCCACAAAAGAAAAGGTAATAAAGTGTGGCTAATTATATTAAAGACCCAATAAATTCTCTCTGAAACTCCTAGGAAGAATGTCTGTACAGCTTATGCCATTTAAATATAATATTGATAACCAAAGTCTGCTTACATTGGAAAGGTTAAGAAAAATACTTGGAAGATGGGAAAATTAAGTGAGCCCAGGAGTTGGACCAGTGAGATGGGGACTTGCAGAAGGTCTGGGTTAAGCTGCTGTATCCTTGCTACTGCGTGTATTTTCCTTCCTGGCCTCTTTGGGGGTTAATTCTGTATGGCTCAACCTTTTGTCATTGTGCTTCACTTTTTACTTCTGAAATACTATCTAGACTAGATCCAAGGGTGGTAGACTTAGGAACAAAGACAGTGTTTGATAGTAGGTGAGAAGGCACAGCCACTGACTGATGAAAGTGGTTGTGACATTTCCATTAATCATCAGACAATGTATTTCTTCTTAGTTGAAAATAGAATGAGCCTTTTCCACATCACATTTCATCAAAACAACATATAGAGCCAAGGCAGAGTTTGGAGGGAGACAGTGCAACCCTTTATTCACACTTGTCTATGTTCTTTAGTAAAGGGGGCTGTCGACGTAATGTAGGCGCCACCCAGAGCCTGAATCCAGTCCTCTCCTTCCTTACTTCCTGCCCAGGCAGCCACATCCACTTAGCCATTGCCCAGAAAGAATTATGTGATTTAATATTTGGGATTGGTGGGGAATAGCAGAATTGGAAGAAGTGGTGATTAGAATTTGAAAACTAAAGGTTTTATGAAGCCTTTACTTTGTGTGTAAGTCATATTTATTTGGATATGTCTTAAAAGTAACGATTACCAATTTTCCTTAAGTAATAGTGTTCTTTTATGTAAAAGATCAAGTGGTATTTCCTTACATAAAACTATTTATTGTAATTGGTAGCATGATGTATCTGGAAAGACTGTAAACTATTGCTGCACTCAGTGACAGCTTTGAATTATAGTGAGTTTATGTATGGTTTATATGGTGTCAGTGTAAAACTGTTGACATAAATTTAAAGTTAGTATTTGCCCTAAATAAAAATGTCACCATAGCAATTACTTTTGACCAACTGTCAAAGGTAAGATATTTTAGTTTTCCATGTAGCTTACAATGTGAACATAAAATATAGTAGTATTGGAAGATTTACATGAAAATGATGACCTTTCCGTTTCTCTTATGGCGCATATTAGATTTCTGTTCATACGGCAATGAAATTTTCTAAAGTCTTTTTCAGCCTAAGTTTCTGGGTTTGTTCAGAAATAAGAAAGCTAACCACTGTTTTGAATCTGAGTCATTTGGGGGAAATGGTGGGCAGCAAAGTGAGGTCATTAACTTTAAAAAATTGTGTTACTCTTCTTTTGGTGGATATCTGTTGGTTGACCATCTCACTCCCAACACTTGGGTAAGATCCTTGAGGGCAAAAACTCTGTCTTGTTTATTGCCATGTCCTCAAGCCTGGAACTGTTCCTGCTATATCTATTGCAAGCTCCTAAAAATGTATGTTGAGTAATTGGGAGTATGGTGGATAATAATTTAATTTCCTTGACTTGGGTTGAGTGTCCAAAAAGAAAGGTAAAATGTAGGGCCAGAGTTAAAATTGTATTTGGAAAGAGGGCAGTGTCCCATGTTATGGGAATTTTTCCTTCACCTGATTTTTTTTTTCATTTCCTTAATAATCTTATTTTGCTCTGGTTACCATTCAAAGACAAAGAGCATAAGTAGTAAGTGCAGTTTGGCATTTTTAGATCTTTGTGTCATTACTCCTCTTTGCTCATCTGCAAGTAATACTTATGGAGTCAGGGACCTTCCCTCTCTATTTAAAAGAAATTACTGTCTTCTGCTTGTTCACTGGAATATCTTCATAGCTAAAATCGTATCCTGAAAGGCTTGTTCTGCTGAAAATTTAAGTTTCGACATATATAGTTTATAATAAAGTGAGAAAAAATGGTGGGGCAGCATTCATCTCTTGAGTTAATGTCTGAAACACATGACCAAGTATCTGTATTGAGACTTCTTTTTGTTTTATATCATTGTTTGGGTGGATTCTCCTATCTGAGAATCTGAGCCCAGAACATAAAGGAATGCTCATTTCTGTGTGTGTGTGTGTGTGTGTGTGTGTGTGTCTGTCTGTCTGTCTAAAGGAGAATCCGTTATTTTCCCCCTTCACTCATTTAGGGTCTCAGATTCAGTTAAGCCTCTCAGGCCTACTGAAGTCAAGTCATTTCTCCTGGGCCAGTTTGGCTCCAGAATCTTTTCCTCATTCTGTTGTACAGTGGAGAAAATGATTTGTTGGTGGAGTAAACTATTTCTTCACATCCAAAGAGAAGTTTTCTTCAGTTACTATATTCAGAGATTCATTCTTCCAAATATCCATTTAATTTAAATGAGGAAGGAAAGTAGCACACATCAATATAATGTGAAATTGTATATTAGAATGCTGTCCAGAATTTTTTATTTTTATGATAAAATGTTATTTTGAATTTTGGTCCACTTGGAGAAAGCACAATTAGGTGCCAGACGTCCTTGCATGACCTCCCTCTTTCAGACTATACCTTCTTTAACATTCTTCGCTGCAGTTATTCTTTCCTGGCTTAAATGGAAGGCAGGAAAATAACATCATTGTATTGGGAAGCTTCCCTTCAGTGGCTCTTTATATGTCAAATAGTTGTTTGCAACTTATTCTGAAGAAGTCTTCAGCTTTGTTCCATTACCACAGCATTTAGTTGTTGGAGATATGTGACAACAAATATATTTATGCTCACAAAATCATGAAACTTGTTGGCACAGTATCTTTAGTTGCTGTTCCAACTCTGCTTTGATAAACCGTGGAAAATAAACTTCTGTCCCAAACTGAAAAATGCTTTCTTTTACTCATATTACCAAAAGCGTATTAACTTTAAAATAAATAATAAACTCATTGACTGTTGTCCAAAAGAAAAACTACATATTAAAATTGATACTTAAGTAGGCAGATTGTAAATATTGGAAACACATAAAACTTTTTAGGTCATCAATTTAGAAACCACAGAAGTATCATTTTCAAATCCTTTTTAAAAGAAATCTACAGCATTATAATTAAAAAATAGATTCTCTCTCCCTTAAATAAGAAAGCCCAGTCTGATAAACTCAAGCCTGCTTTCTGCCCCATAACAAATAAGTTATTCCTCTATCACATCACTTATTACATTGTATTTTATTTATTTTTCTTGTCTGACTGCTGACAGAGTATAGATCACACCAAAGTATGTTAATAAAAGCTAATGTTTATGGAGCATTTAATATATTATAGACAACACCACCATAAGTGGGTTTTCTTATTAAATCATCACACAGTGGTGTGAGGTTGGTTGCTATCATCAACCCACTGTACAGATGAGGAAACTGAGGCACAGAGAAGCTAAATAACTTTGTCGAAGTTAGGTGGGTTAGAAACTACAGAACCAGGAGTCTACCCTTCTAGATTTTCTTGAGTTTTCACTCAGCCAGAGCCATTGAGGGAACA